CATCTTCAATTGATATTAAATCTGCTTAAACTCTAATTTTGACCATTTTACCCTCAAACTTTTCTAAAATTACCAAAATGACCCTCAAACCCTAATTTTCCCAAAATTGCATAAATTCTCAAATTCCCTTCAAAAATTATTTCAAACCATTTCAAATCACTCTAATTGCTCAAAAACACCCCAAATTCTCAAAATTTCCAAAATACCCTAAAAAATTGTCAAAATTACCAAAAACCCCCTCTGCTTCAAGTATCCCCAAAATTTCCAAATTCACTCTAAAATGTCCCCAAAAATCAATTTGAACCACTCATTGACCCCAATTGTGCCCAAATTCACCAAAATTTGCAAAAATCACCAATTTGACCATACCCTTAAATTTCATCAAATTTAACCCATCACTAACCCAATTCCCCAAGTTTGAATCCTAAACTCTTCATAACACTCCCTTTGACTAATTTGATCCCTCAAGCCTAAATCCAACTCAAGCCAAAACCCCTAATTTTGACCTAAAATCCAAAATTCCCAAATTGAACTTCATGACATCTCAATTTCAACCCAATTGATACCTAAATGCCTCAAGACAATGTTCTACACCAAATTGAACCTTCAATTGACCCAAAATCAAACTCTAGCCAAGCTCAAACCCAATTCCAAATCCAACCCTTGTTATTGATCCCAAACCCCAAATTCACCTCAAGCCCCTTGTTCTAGCCCAATCATGGCGGCCACAACCACCTTTTGGAGCCTAAGATCCAACCTAGATCCACCTAGCCCGCCCTAGCTAAGCCATGGACCAAGTGTCCCTTGATTTGGGGATCTCTTCCCATATTTTGCTAAGTAACCTAAACTTGTCATCAGATGATTAAACCTCCATCATGATCACCATTAAACCTCCCTCTGAGTTCCCTGAGCCAGCTAACCACCTCTCTTGCCTTGGTCGACCGGCCTAGTCACCGGAAACTCAAAATTGAGGAGCCTTCCTCATGGACCAAACCTAAATTACACCCATCGACCGTGTCAACCTCACATTGGTCACTTGTGCCGACTTCCCCTCCACCTATGCTACACTTTGGCCACCTTGGCTTGCCATGTTGGCAGTCATGGCCTGGTGTATAAATAAGACCCCTCTCACAACCAAATGGAAAGAAGTGTCAATTTCTTAGGGAACCTCTGCCAATTTATTTCCAGAACTCCCTACAACCTTCCTAAGTGCAATCCAACTGTCTTCAAAGACCCATCTCCCCTGCCTGAGCTCAAATTCAGAGCTAAAAAATAGGACCTTTTGTGGCCATTTCACAAAACTCACCAAATCCTCAAATTGAGATGCTCTTAAGTTTTACCAGAGCATAAGAACAGTTCCCCAATCAAAAGCCCTCTTTTCTGAGCATCTAACCGACTCCTAGACGAAGGTCGCGCCACCTGTTGGTTGAACTCATACCTAGACCCCATACCAGAGGAAGGTGATGCTTTGTGCACGTTCGTGGGACTCCAAGGAAGCTTCTGCAACTACCCAATTGATGTGTCACCTCGTGGGCAAAGGAATAACTCAAATTCCTTATTTCTTGGCTTGATTTCACCAATTATGAAGAGAACATGTATTTTATATGCTTTTAATCATATGGATATATTCGTCTCAATTAGATGAAGCTATAAGAACAAACCGTGAGTGTGTTTGTTGAGTATCGAGTGAGATCGAATCATTTTATTATGGACAATTCTCAGTTTATAACAGATGGGGACGATGAATGGATGACGTCCGTTTCCGCGTGTATTGAATGGACCCTCTAGATTGCATTGGAAGAGAGGATGGTGCGTAAAGCACAGACCGAGTCAGTGCCGATGAGAAAAACAGCGTCGAATGGGGGCGCGAAGTCGTAGGATTGCGTTGAGCGGAGTCAGATAAGTTAAAAAAAGGTATTTTTATTTCAATTAATTCCAAAACTTAAAAAATCCATAACTTGGTGTAGAAAAATCAAAAGAATAAAATAAAAATACTTTGATGCTTAATGGACAGAGGAGAAAATTATAAACAAAAAATGAAAATTATTTGTCATGTATTTTATTTTTAATTAATTAAATACTCTAGGGCTTTTTTAATTCCATTTAATTAAATTTTAATCACCATGAGTTAAAATTTAGAGGGTTTATTCTACATGTGATTAGGAGTGTTCTCTGATTTTTCTAAAGCCAGAGAGCATTCATAATCCTAAAAACTCAAAATTTCAAAGTTAAGTCAACCTTTTTTCTTAAAATAATTATATAGATTAAAATAAAAATTAGAAAATATGGGACTTGTTTTGGTAAGTTCACTATGGTCAAAGGACCCTAGAAAAATATAAAATGAGTTTGAATAATTGGGTGTATTATTTTAGGTAATTAAGTCATTAAAACTCATAAAAATTAAAAAAAATATAATTCAATAAAACCCAAATATTGACTCACAGTGAAGATAATGAACATGTTAAACTTCTGTAAAAATTTGAAACCATTTGAAATGTATCTCATATCAAAGTTTGTTTTTCAAGATAAATGAGATTTTTGCACTAAAATAATTATAATAAATAAACTATAATCAAGACAATTATGAAAAGTGGTTTGGAGTGATCCTTGTGACCAGGGGCACTCAAGAAAAAACTAAATTAGTGTTAAAATAAATAGTTCATTTTTGAGCTAATTTTTAATTTAAAAATAATTAAAAATAATTAAAAATAATTAAAAATAATAAAATATAAAATGCATCAAAATGTCACAAATTGTTCCCTGATCACTTGAGACCATTTAAAATATTTTTCCAAATTTTCCTAATAAAGTTATGCCTTTTTAAATGTATAAATGTATTTTTTCTTGATTTTTCATTGAAATAATTACAATAAATAAAATAAAATCATAAAAATGGAAAATTTGTTCGTCTGAGTTCTCTGAACTTAGAGAGACTAAAAAAAATATAAAGAGTAATTTTTTAAGTTAAATTATGTTTTCTATTTAATTAATCACTAAAATCAATAAATAATTATAATAATTAAAATATAGCTAAAAAAATCATGAAATTTGTTTCAAGTGGTCCTCTGACCTAGGTGTCCCATGAATGAACTCTTCTCCTCAAATAGAATTTTTATTGTTCACTTGGTTATTTTTTTCTTTTGCTTTTAATGTGTAGAATGTTTAGGATTCATACCATTTAGTTAACTTTATCAATCAACCTAAAACTAATTTATATTTTTTTAAAATAATTAAATCTCTCACTAACCTCTTTTAATTTTAAATTATTCTTTTTGTATCTCATGGATGAGGTATATAGGTGAGCTAATCATCCATCAAAACCCTAATGATAGGGCACTTCTATAAAATGGACAAATCTACATACACTTAATAGTCATTTTCATTTAAAGTTTGACGAATAGCGGTGAAAATCATGATCCTTATTATAGAACTTTTTACTATAGGCATTATTTTAATCGACATATTTAGAGTTCTTACTATGATAAATAATGAAAATTTTGATTCAAAGATGATTAAAAATCCAAAGAAATAGCTCTAATTACATAAGGTTGAGAAATCTTATTTCTTTTTTCTATAGACAATTCTTAAAATATTAAGGATTATAAGCACCAATTTGCTTTTTCAATTTCTTTTATAAGAGAGTAATGCAATGATATTTTTACCCATACTTTCGGTTTCAAATATACACATCCACCTTTCTGGGTGAATTTTAAAATCAAATCGATGTGTTAAATCACCGTTTAGTCGCATGGACTCAATTACATAATGATTAGATGACATAAGTTTTTTTATGAATTTATTAATGATTTGGGCTCAATTTTATTTGAAAATTGTACATTTGTTGAAATGAAAAGGAAAAAAATCAGTCGCTTCCTCTCAAGCTCTCAAACTTCTTTTCCCTCTCTCTATCTCTCTCTCCGCTGTCCATTTTGCTCTTTCTCTCACTAGCTAACTCGATTCAACATATGCCAAGTTTTATGTCAAAATTCCAATCCCTTTTTCATTTTTCTTAATCAAAACCATCTCAATTTTTGTTAATGTTGCTCGATTTATTGGAATGAAAGATTGAAATAACTAAAGTGGTTTCATTATTTTGTGAATTAAATGAGAGAAACAATTAGATCTTTCAATGAATAAAACTAGAATAATTATGAAAAAGATCAATGAGAGAGGCATTTTAGTTTTGAACTCCAGAAGATATTGAGATTGCTGAAAGTTTACACTATAGCATATAGATTGCTTTAATTTTATAATTAGATATACAAAAAACTTAAAAAATAGCATTTAGATTCTTTGCTATGATGCATCCTCTTTGACTTATTGATTGTGTTAAGAGTTCAATACATGGTGTTGTAAGTTTTTTAACAGATTTTTTTATTCTTATTTTTCATTAGTTTGATGTTTGTAGAAAAGCACATAATAAACACCATTTTAAGATTTTTTTTTTTTGTATTACAAAAAAGATAGACTTAAGTTAGTAGTATTTAGTAAATTTTGTTAATCCGAATTTCTTAAATGAAACAATTAAATCAAAAAATTATTTGACAATGAATTTAATGAATCCAATAAATTCTGTAAAACTGTTTGACAACATTTATGAGGATTTAAGAATTACTATATTTGTTAGAATTCAAATTCACATCTAATTTTGATTATTTAATTATTATGATGAAAAACATTCATTAAATTTAATTTAAGTTTAATTTCTAATTATTCTAATAAATATTTAATTATTTACCTAACCAATTAATTTTTAATAATTTTTTATTGAACGAATTACTTATTAATCAATAATTTAACATTAAATAAAATTTTAACTAATTAAATAATCTTACTAAATAAGAATTAATTAAAGTTTAAATAAGATATTTTAAAATTTTAAATATGTATTTATTCATCAAATAACTATTAAAGTTTATCAAATTGTAATTAATTTGGCAATATAAAAATTAATTATCACTCAATTAAAATAAATAAAATGTACAGAACTATGGAACCATCATATATTGCGAAACCCTCGCCCAGCACCTCTCCCGGTCTTTTCGCTCTCAACCCCCCATTTCTCCCAGAAACATCGCCTTCGCGAACGAGGCAACCTCCGGATCGCGGCTTACAGACCACATAAACTCCCATCTTTCTCATCCTTCCCGCTCCGCTCCTACCAGAAACCAGAAACCATTGAGGAAGGTAAGCCTGTTGGCTCCATTGTTCTTCTTCGCTCATCCCGGATTTGCTCTTTCCGCCGATTCACAGGATTTAGTAAATCCGGGATTTACAGCCGAAATCTGCGAAATCCAGATTTATCAAAGTGGCGGATTTATTTTGCCCAAACTGACCGCCGTTTCCTGCCAGCCTAGATCTTTTCGTGCTCACTGATTGTGGTTGGTGCTAATCCGTTATCTAGAGGGATAAAATCAGTTATTTTGATAGCATAACTTGGTAGTTGGTGGAACCTATAATTTTTTATTTTTGGTTTCTATTTTGTTTAGGAACTTTTTTGATCGTCTCTTATAACAGCTAAAAGCTTCTATATTTGTTAAATCACGTGAGTATGGTGTGGTTAGTTCTTGATTTGACAGTTAAAAGGGATATTTACATACATAGCACTCAACTCTTATGTATTTACACATCTCACACCTAAACTTTCATATTTACATGCATATCACTCAAACTCTTAATATCACATAAAAATGGCACCAGTAACACTTTTTGAAAGTGAAATACACTTTTTCATGCATACATTTAACGCACCAAGTGCTATGTATGTAAATATGAAAGCCTAGATGTAAATACATAAGTATTGTGTCTCCCATGAATCTTGAATACCATGGTTTTGCATGGATCAAGGAGAAGGCGACTTTCACTATAAATACACATGGTTGAGCAAGCTTTGATGTTGCTTCTTTTTGAGGGGTTGTTAGCTCTCATATGAGCAGGACCTTATCAAGGCATATAGGAGTTGAGTTTAGTCTCACATGGGATAGTTAAAAGAGAAATTTACATACGTAGCATACAAGTCTTATGTATTTACATGTCTCACAGCCAAACTTTCATATTTACATACACAACTTGAGTGCTTTAAACCCTTGCATGAAAAGGTGTATTTTACTTTTAAAAGTGGTAATAGTGCTATTTTTGATGTGACATTAAGGATTTGAGTTCATTGTGTGTAAATACGAAAGTTTAAGTATGAGATATGTAAATAAATAAGAACTGTGTGCTATGTTTGTTGGTGCCCCTAATTAGAAATATGTTTTTGTAAACATGCCATTTGGTTGATCCCCACCCATGAGCTTAAACTTAAGGATTGAAAACATGCTTATACTTTTGGTTTGTCTAGCCCAACTTTGTCCCCTTTTTGTATTGATAACTCCCCAATTGTATTTATTGTGATTCTGATAGCAACTATTGATCTTCAAGAATAAAATTTCAGTTCATCTCATTATTTAGCATATTTTGAGATTATGTTTTAAGTTCCATTCACTTTCTTTATGCCATTCTTTCAGATTTTTGATTGAGGATGGGTCTGGTGAAAGCTTTTGCTGATATGGAGGAAGGAACTTTAGAAGTTGGCATGGGTATGCTACATGACAAATTTTAGTTATTCGTTTTTTACTATGTGCTTGTTACCTAGATATTTCAATGTTTTTATTTTTGGGTCTTTGAGTATCTGCTTAGCTCCAAAGGTTTGCAAGGTTACATTGGGGTGCTTAAAGCACAACAATAATTATGATCGCCACAAGAAAAAAAGAGGAAAATGATCACGTTTACATGTTTTTAGCTGGTCTCAATTGGAGTATAGATGAAGTATGAGGTCCCATCCTCGGTAGGAAACCTCTACCTTCAATTTGAGAAGCTTATCAAGAGGCAAGGAGAAAAATATGTTGTGCAACACTGAATATTCTATTAATATTGAAGTGCAAAACTCAACTCTTGTGTCACAAGGGGCTTACATTCACAAAGAAGGCCGAAAAAAATCATAGTGCGTGCATTGCAAAAAATTATAGTACATGAAAGAAGTATCTTGAAAGCTTCATGCTAATCTTGCAAATTAGAAATCAAAATTCAAGTTTGAAGGCCGAGCTTAAGAAGCCATTGCTGAAAAAACTTATGAGCTGCCTGCTGATTTGAACAAAATTCTTTTACTAAGGAATAATTAAAGAACTTGCATAGATTATTTCAATATCTAAAATTTTTCCTCACTCCTTCCTACTCCTTAGTATAAAGGGGAACTCTTTGGTCACTATTTTTTAATTCTTCCTATTTTTTCTCATTTATGGATAATTGATTCTTGTGCAACCAATTACATGACTGGTTCTTCTAAGTTAAGTTTTCTTATAGACCTTGTGCAAGTAATTAAAAGGTAAAAATTGCCAATGGTTCCCTCTTGATAGTTGTTGGGATAGGAACTGTAAAACTCTTCCTGTTGTTAACTCTTTGCGATGTTTTCTATATTCCTAATTTATTTTGTAACCTGTTGTCCATCAGTAAAATCATTGTTGATCATCAATGTCAAGTTTACTTCTACTATTCTTGTTGCAAGTTTCAAGAATTAATCACAGGGAGGATGATTGGCAGTGCTTAGGACAAATGTGGACTCTATTATTTTGGCGATAGACTTGGCTCGGAAAGACAATATCAAAGTACCGTTTTAAATTATATTTCTAAAGTTAATGAAATTATGTTATGATATTATAGGATATCCTTGTTTTCTTTATCTAAAATACTTAGTTTTCAAATTATATCAAGATAAAAATATGCAGTTTCAATGTAAAGTGTGTCTGTTTGCTAAGATGTTACCATATATCATTTTCTCTACAAATATACAAACCAACTATACCATCTATTTTGATTCATACTGATATCTGGGGCCCTTGTGAATCACTTTCACATTATGAAAAGAATGGTTTGTAACTTTCACTGATGATCACACTAGATTAAAGTTAGATTTATCTAATGAAGGAAAAATTTGAAGTAGCAATAATTTTTCAAAATTTTTTACACTATGTACAAACAAAATTTTAAACAGCTATTTAAATACTACGGAGTGACGATGACCGACAATTTTTCAAAAATTCATTGGGTCAATTCTTCCTTGAAAATGAAATTATTCTTCAAAGCTCTTGTGTCAACACTCCTAAACAAAATGGGCTGGCTCAAAGAAAAAATAAGCACTTATTGGAGCTAGCTCGTGTGTTGCTATTTATCAATCAGGCTCCTAAATATCTTTGGGGTAAAGTCGTTCTTGCTGCTATCTTTCTCATAAACAAAACACCCAATAAGGTTTTAAACATTGAAACACCTTTGTTGTTTTTCAATTTTTTTTCCCAAAAAACTCTTTTTTTTTTGACCTCTAAAGATATTTGGGTGAACTACATGCATTCACATTCATAATCAACGAAAAACTGAACCCCAAGCTAAAAAATGTATGTTTGTTGTAAAGAGGGTATAATTGTTTTGATCCTAAATCTAAAAATGTTTGTTGCCATGGATGTTATTTTTTTGAATTACCAATTTTTTTATTTGGGAAAGAATAAAACAAATATCTGTATACTGAGTTTTAAGATTTTCTTCAAACCGAAGAATATCAAAATATTGTCCCCAACCGCAATTGTTCAACTTGACAACCCATGTAATATATCAGGAGAGAGTGCGCCAAGTTTTTTAGATATTGAAGTTACTACAATCCCATCTAATGATGTTCATAACGACAGAGAAGTAGAAAAAAAGAACAATAGCAGTGACATCGTTTGATCTTGTCTACTCGTGACCAAGGACAACCTAAAAGAAAAGGTCTATGAATTCTTTACACTGCCCAAAATCTGTAAACCTAGGTAATGTCCTCACTAATTCTTTCTCTCATGTTCATTCCATTTCATCTTCAAATTTAGAATATTCTAGTCCTACGTTTGAGCATAGTTTGAATCCCGAGTCTAACGAGTCCATCCTTCCTATTGGGAAAAAGGCTTGCACCCAACATCCATTGCTGAATTATGTGTCATATGAAAATCGTTCATAATTTTTGTGCATTTACCTCACAATTATCTTATATGAAGATTCCTAAAACAATGCAAGATGCTCTGAAAGTGCCTAAGTGGAAGGATGTTATTTTTGAGGACATAAAAGTTCTTGAAAAAAATGAGACATGGAAAGTAGTTCATCTACTTAGAGGAAAAACAATCGTCGAATGCAAATGGGTGTTTAAAATTAACTACGATTATGATGGCTCTTTACAACTGAACTTTCCTAGGTTGGCTGTTAAAGAATTTACTCAGATATATGACGTTGATTATTTAGAAATATTCGCTTCAGCTGTAAAGCTAAAATCTGTAAGGGAATTTTCTTCACTTGCAGCTAGTCTTGACTAGCCTCAATAACAGTTAGATATAAAGAATGTCTTTCTCAATGGTGACTTATAGGAAGAAGTGTATATGGATTCACTTCCAGGATTTAATGAGAAGTTTGACACAAAGGTGTGTACAACAACAAGTTTTTATCCAACTAAGTGGGGTCGGCTACATGAATCATTTTTCTCCATTGCGTCTTACTGAGTGTCATATTTTCATTTCATTCTAATAGATTAAGATCATCTTTTGTACAATATGCCTATGTCTTTTTATGTCTACTTCTGCGTTTCTTAACATAAATCAAATCTAAAAAATCTACTCTCCTAACTAGATCATCAGAGGATCGACGTTTAATGTGACCAAACTATCTAAGAGGATTTTCTCTAATCTTGTCTGGCACTGGAGCTACACTAAACCTTTCACGGATAGATTCGTTTCGCATTTTGTCTCTAATTGTCAATCCACTCATCCACATAAGCATTCTCATCTCATGAACACTTAACTTTTATTTATGATTCTCTTTTAATGGCCAACATTCTGCACCATAAAGCATTGCAAGTATCTCCACCATCTTATAAAAATTTTCCTCAAGTCTAAACACTAATTTTCTATGACATAATAGGCCTAACGCATTCCTCCCCTTCAACCAACCAACCAAAATTCTACTAATAACATCCCCACTATATCACCACTATATCACCATCTCACCATCACTTTGAACAATAGACCTGAGATATCAAACATGTTCGCATCTTTTAATGATTTGATCACCCATAGTTACAACTCTGCGACTAGAGCTACTACTACTGAAATTACCTTCCATGTATTCAGTTTTAGATTTGCTCAAACTAAGGCCTTTAGACTCTATAATGTAGACCTCTATAGTTTTTGTTTTTCCTGAACTCTTTCTCTAATCTTATCTACAAGAATGATATCATTAGCGAAAAGCATACACCAAGGTACCTCATCCTGCAAATGTCTAGTAAGAGCATACATAGTTAAAGCAAAAAGATACGGGCTTAAAGCCGATCCTTGATATGATCCAACTAAAATAAGAAAATACTGTCAATCCTCCTTCTGTTTGAACACAAGTAGCAGCTCTAGAATACATATCTTTAAAGACTTGAATGTGAGTCATCTCAACGCCTTTTTTTCTAGAACTCTCTAAAGAACTTCTCTTGGAATCTTGTTGTAAGCTTTTTCCAAATCAATAAAAATCTTATATATCCTCCTTACTCTCTCTGTACTTTTCTATCAAACCTCTCAATAAATGTATAACTTCCATGGTAGAGTTGCTCGACATAAATTCAAACTAATTATGAGAAATCTTTCTATCATGTCTTAACATATATGAAATTACTCTCCCATAATTTTAAAGTATGACACATTGACTTAATTCCTCTATAATTTGAGCACTCTTGTGTATCCCCTTCATTCTTAACAATGTAGACCAAATTATTTTTTAATAATCGATGTTGATGACTTAAATTTTCACTTGAAATGACCTTACAATCTTTACATTTCTGATGATCTCTCATAAGAAAATAATCAATTTGTGTTTTATGAGATGCTTTCTTATAAGTAATAATATGCTTATCTCTATTCTTAAATAAACTATTAGAAATACAAAATCAAAACCTAAAACAAAATCTAATATGATTCTACCATCTTCATTAATCACTCCAAATCCATGCCTAAAATCTTCTAGCACTGTACCAATACGTCCATTTAAATATTCTCCAAAAAAAATATTTCTTTAAGAGGTATCATTTGTATTAATACTTTTAGGTCATTTTAAAATTTTTCTTTTAAACCTATATTTAAACCTATGTGAGAAGCATAAGCACTTACAACATTAAAAATCTTAGCATCAACAATAATTTTTAGGGCTATAATAATTTTATCTCTAATTCTATTGATTTTTTGTGACACTATCTTTCAAACTCTTATCTATAATTTCATCTATATCATTTCTAGTGTGACCCTTTCCTGAGTGCCAAAGTTTAAAACCTAAGCTATCAATATCATTAGCCTTTTTACCAATCCATTTAGTTTATTGAATGCATAAGATATTTATCTTCTTATGAATCATAATATATAATACTAATTTCATTAATTTACTTGCATTAATTTACTTGTGACTTCTTTGCCCATATCCATTCATAATGTTGGAATTATTTCTTATTTGACACTACATTTGGGCACTGGTATTGCGACCCTTGCATATTTTC